TTATAACGTATTATTCTTTATATTAGAGTGGGTACAATTACAGCAATTTAGAAGCTATGCAATATTACCAAGGCTGTAGATCAAATGCATTGAAAATCTATTAAATAAGCATGTACTTATTGCGCATTTAATACACTTGACATAAGTAAAATCATTTTTTGTGTATCAAATATAAAAACATTTATTAACTACTACAAAAAATATTATTATAAGAAATTTATTTAAATATTTAAATAATTAAAATTAAAATAAATAAAACATACTAATTTCAGTTTATATAAGTGGAGCAGAATAGATTGTAGTGTAAAATAAGAAACGAATAAAATTTAAACAAAATACGTGTTGTTTTGGACTGTGTTATATATTTTTTATATTTGAAAATAAAAAATATGCTTCCCTCTATTTTAGAAATAATTTTGTTCTCATTACATAAAACACTGTATAAAGTATTTCGTATTTCAGTGTTAATAAGAACGTTAATGAATCTTGTTATAAACTATGAATTAAATTCTTTATCAATTGATTTTAAGTTATTAAAGATGCAATAACTTAATCTTAATTAAATCAAAATAAATATTGCATACATTTTACAAATAGACAAATAGTAAATAAGTACAGTTAATTTTCTTGAATTTTGCTGATAAATAACATGAAATATGTGTAAGTTAACTCGAATTGTATAAATAATAAGTCAAATTATTTTGATTACACATTTATTTATTATACCTGGAATATAGAATTACAAACTTTTATTTTTGTTTATGAAAAACATACTGAAAGTATTATCAATATATGTCACAAAATTAGTTATCTAAATTTTTTCACAATATCATTGTTCGTGAAATAACTGGATAATTATAGTTATTTAGGTTTTTTTTTTTTTTTAATTCAATAAAAAAAATAATTTTTAATATTATCATAATAAAATACCTAATATTGTGTAAAAAAATCGTATTTATATTGATTGATGAACAATAACAATGTCATAAAAATAATCAGAACTATATTTAAAGCAGGATAAGAGGGTATGGGCCAGGGGCGCAATTCTAAGAGGGGCTAAAATTTCAATACTACTTGTGTAATAATTTTTTTCACCTAATATTTGAAAAATGTATTTTTATTTTAACAACATATATAGTAGAGTCTCGCTCTATTCTCAATGTATAACAATTATTTATGTTATGGCCGTTGAAGCACAAAATTTGAAATATTGATAATTCATTATACATAGAATATATATAATATAAAGTATACGTATAATGAATTTATATGTGAATAATATTCTCGTAAAATAAGTCGGTATGTATGTATGTATTTCTAGCATAACAATACTTTACGAAATGTACATTTCCAGCCATCGGGAAATACCACCTACTATTGTTTATTTGTGGTGTTCTGTGCAATTGTGTAATTTTATTGAGTTTTAAAAAAAATTAAATATTTAGAGATACCCAAGTCGATAAAAATCGACTGGTAAACATAAAAAATGTACACATTTTTCACATTATTTGATAGTTAAGAATATTAATGAAAAAATACATGTTTTTATATTAAAGTAATGTAAATACTAACAATTATATTAAAGTTAATTAGTCATTACCTAGTATACTATGTATTAATATGTTATGTTTTATATATTTCAAATATTTTTATTTTTTTTTAAATGCCAATTTCCCATTTTGGAGAGGAGTATAAATGCAGTGATTTGTCAGAGGCACAACTAAACCTCAATACGGCCCTGCAAATAATTTAATAAAACGAAGGAAATAACCCAGCTTTATTATATTGAATGTACCACAATTAAAAAATTTATATAATGTAATTATATTTTTTTTTTTATGAAATATATTTAAAGTTTACTACATAGGAGAGTGTCTTTCTTGGTTTTTAATTTAACAATATTTGATTAGGAGTACGAAACAAATAATATTTCAACTAACTTGGATGGAATACCATAAAAATATTATTTTTTTAATATATAAATTATATATATATAATATTATCGAA